GGAAGAGCCATAGCCATTGTCTTCTTCCTCCCACGTAGACCTTGACGGGGTAGCTGCATCTGGAATCACAAAAGACACATCCACAGAACACATCAATTTAGCAAGGCGCAACTCCAGAATCACTAGCCAGAATCCAACACCAACTTATTTTATTATTTCCAACCTTTGTACCTATTTATAAGGAACAAAATGGTTTTGACAGCTTTTAAAGATATCTGAATTTGCCGGGTGTGGTGGCACACGCCTGTAATCCCAGCACTTGGGAGGCTGAGGCTGAGGCAGGAGGATCGCTGTGAGTTTGAGACCAGCCTGGGCTACACAGTGAGTTCCAGGTCAGTCTCAACTATGTAGTGAGACCCTGCCTCAAAGAACCAAAAAAAAGGAAAGATATCTGAATTTGCCGGGTGTGGTGGCCCACGCCTGTAATCCCAGCACTTGGGAGGCTGAGGCTGAGGCAGGAGGATCGCTGTGAGTTTGAGACCAGCCTGGGCTACACAGTGAGTTCCAGGTCAGTCTCAACTATGTAGTGAGACCCTGCCTCAAAGAACCAAAAAAAAGGAAAGATATCTGAATTTAATAAGCCAGTTTTCCCTCTGTGTTTGTAACAACATTTTAAGGAATATTCACTTTCTCTCTGCAAACATATCTACCGGAAATATAAATGGTTCTTTTCAGTGCATCCTTAGTGAGTCACAACTGTCTTTCTTGCCATTGGGAAAACTGGCCATTCAGCAAACAGCTCATCAACTAAAGGAAACACATCCACCTCCAAAGAAAGCAACAGGACTGTGTCCACCTGACTCAGAGCCCAGTATTCCAGAGCCCAGTATACTCAAGGTAGACTGTGACTCTCTGCCCCAGTGAAGCCACCCCGCCTTTCAGACACCTGAGCCCCCACACCTTACCACAGAAAAGAGCTGCATCTACCTTTAGGCCGATGTCGTGGGCTCTCTGGTTCACTTCTTCTACTGCTGCGTTCTGAGTCTCCATCTCGCTCTGATCTGCTGCTGTGCCTACTTCTATCCCGCTCATCTGTGAAGTCACATGAAGAGCTTAACACTGTGCGTCCCATCCTGACACACACCCATCTGCTCCCTGGAGAAAGGACAAGCCCCCGCCTCACTCACAGGTGCAGCCTGCACTGCTCTAATGTGGTCCATGGGTTCCTGAAACTCACACATTCCCATTCTTTCAAGGGAAAAACAGTTACTGGCTAGTAAGTTTCAAACTCACAGTAAGCTATTTTCCTGCAAGAATTCAAAAGGGAACAGTTATAAGTCTATAGTGAATACCTACAGTATATAGTAATTAACCTAGAAGATATAAACAGTACTGAGCAAAGCCAGCACTGGATTTTACGTCCTGCTTTGCTCCATGGCATTGTCCTTTCTCTGGCACCAACACTATCATGAACTTTGGTTTCTTATATTACTTCCTCGATCACCAATTTTTCACAATAAAACAAGGACCACACACTTAAGCAAAGCAACTATGTCACAAGCAACAGCTCTTAAATTGCCAATCTCAAAAGGGTCAAAACCATTCCGGCTAACATCATACAAAACAGGTTCCCCACTTCATGGGCATTATGAAAGTTCCTGCAAAAGGGAAAAGGCTGGCACACTTATTTGAACGCTAACAGGCAATGGGAACTATGCTAGATGGGCTACCTCTGTCTCTCTTGCGGTCATAATCTCGATCCCGTGATTTTTCCTTCTTCCTGTCCTTTTCTTCTTTGGAAGAGGCATAGACACCATGTTCCCGCCGCTCCCTCTCTCTCTGCCGACTGCGTTCCCAAAACTCTTCACTTACACCTCCGGGATGAGATGGAGTCTCTACCCGAGCAGATCGATACTGTCTAAAACAGAGAGGGCAGCCAGTAAAGGGCTCTCCATAGGAGAAAACACCTGGCCCAAACCTCTGGCTACGCCAAACAAGTGATCTGTCCATATCCACCACATCTCCCCACTGCCACAGGCCTGTATCCATCTGGGCCGAGATATCCATAACCTCCATCACCTACTGTACTCCCTAGCTGTCCTGGAATTTTTCCCATTAGAAAATACTAATTCCTACCTATCGTCAATATTACAGAATCATAATCAAATCATAAAGCTCTAAATGTCTAATAGGAAAACCATGAATAATTGTCCGGCCTCCACTTCCAACCTCTTCGGGCCAATCTACTCAAAGGCCTTTACCTGTCTTTCCGGACACTTCGGCCGGCCTGCTCACTGCCCTCCTCCTCAGCATCCTTCTGGTCATCCTTGCTCTCCTCCCAGTCCTTGTAGGAAGAGATTCTGGACTTCTTCTTGTCCTCCCCATCATCCTTCTCCTCTCGCTCCTTCCTTTTCAAGGAAGCTAGTAAGTCTAGGCCCAGCAATGAAGGGCGGGGAGCAGGGGCTTTGAAGACATGCTGCTCACTGGCTGCACTTTTGGTCTTACAAAGAAGACCTCCAACCTGAGAGTCCAGATCAGTGCCTTCTAACCGGTGGATCGAGGCATCTTCAGTGGTACCCTCCATCACAGGCTTTGGGATTTCTCTGGAAAGAAAGGAAACTATTTGGTATTGGACATAAGGGAGAAGGTTTAGCTCTTCCATATCCCAAAATAACTATGGTTACAGATTAATTATCAACCACATGCCAAGACTTTTTCTACCTTTTTTCAAGATGTTCCCATCAAATCACTGACAATCTCAAAAAAATCTTCCTGTTCCCACCCAACCCATACCACAGATACAGAGATACACACGTACACACACACTCCAAAACACGGGTCTCCAAGAGAGTATCATCCAGACAAGAAACACATCACTAAGGGCCATGTATTAGCACATGATAACATCTATAAAGGTAGTGTAGGAGAAACTAGATTTGAAGTCAGTAACCTCATTAGAATCCACACTCCTGACACTTTCTACCTTTGTGATGGTAAGCAACTTAATCTGGTTAGCCATACTTTTTGTATCTGTAAAATGGAAATAATTTTTGCTTTATCTAATCTGTGGAATTATTGTGAAAATCAAACAAGAAAATGTATGTGAATACACTCTGTAGCCATAAAAAGTTATATAAGTATTACTGTAACATCGTTTTATTTGCTATGCTCCTATATACTGATTGGGCTCCTCACCAATTTTTACAAGTTCTTCTACTTGCCCTCCCTTTAACAGAGATATAGCAGACTAGAGATGTGGGAACATAAAGATACCATCCACATTCTACACGCTTTAGTAGACCAACAGTGTTCTGAAAACACAATTATCTCACAACGGTCAAAATCAGCTTAATAACTATTTATGAAAAACATCAAATTAGTAAACAGTGTTTCCAAAAAGTATTGAAGAAACTGTAAGACTTCCTGGAGCTCAACTTATAGCAAATTCATCTTAATTTACCACTTATAAGAATACATTTATGCTGGGCATTTGGATAATTCCCCTCATTCCAACAAGTTAGCGAAGCAAAGAGACTGTTAAGGGACAGAATACTTTCAGAATCCAGAAATGGCTGCCATGCTCTGATTATTAAGAACAACCTTACAGAAGAGTACTGAAAGCATAATAGAGGAAACAAGTTTCATTTTGAACATCGTTGGTGACATCTGTGTGCACCAGCACACAGGAAATCCAGGCAGGAAGGTAGATATCCACTGACTCTCTTCAGTAGTCATCTGAACTGGAAATGACACCCCTAGAATGCCACTCTATGCAAGCAAGTGAATGCTGTCTATCTTGTTAACTGCCAGAGCCCAGTGCCTAGCTAAACTGACCTTTGGGAAATAAATGAATGAATTTAAACTTACTAAAGAAGAACAGAGAATCAAATGTTTCTAGACCCAGCAAGAAAAAACACCAACAAAACAGGACAAGGAGTCCGGCAGAGAGGATTTAACTGGCTGCTAAGAAGAACATATAAAGAGTTAAGGGGCCAAATTCTGGAAAAAGATTAATGGCACAGAGGTACAAGGAAACCAGTGAAGAATAAACTTGGACTTGCTCGTTCAACAACTATTCATTGCCTCCGTGAGCTGTTCTCCACAACAGGAATAAAGAAAACACAACAAATCCCTGCCCTAGTGGAGATGACATTCTACTACTGATAACCCACGAGATCGCCTAGTGGAGATACTACTGTCAGGAAGAAGCAAAAGACCCGAAGAGCCCTACTCAGGCCTGACGGCTGTCTGGGACTGGGTAGGGCAATCACAAGAAAAGGCGCAGGGCGACCCCAAGCAGCATCCCTGGATCTCAGTGAGGCCTCTCCAGACATCAGGATCTGACCAGAGCAGGGAGAAAAGCCGGAGGAAAGAAGATCGGCGGAGCATTCCTGAAGTAAAGCAAACTGGGTGACCAGGACGAAAGGAACTTTCCAAACCGGGGCCCAAAAATGACCCGGGGACCGATATCCATCGCCTGGAGCCGCCATGACTAGCGAAGGACAGATCAGGAAGGAAGAAGGGACACTCACCTCACCAAGCACGACTCTTGGGACCCTTCTGTCCCGAAGTCTGGGGTGTCGGCGTCACCACCCCTGGGTCAGACGACCTCAAAGAGCCAAATTCTGCTCCTTGAAAGCGGCCATTATTGTCCCGTAATACTCTGCGCGGCTAACTCTATCTGTCCAAAAGTACCATCGAGAGCAGCCCGGAAAACGACAGTTCCGGGATCCAAGTGTAGGCCTGAACACGAATAGCCTCTCAAAACTACAATGTCTTCCTCTGAGGATTAGCTCTGATCGGAGGGACTTCCGAGTCTCCTTGAAACCAATCACGCTTAGTCTAAGAGCGGAGCACCCGCCTCTAGACTGTGGGCGAAAGGAGAACGAAAAATAGGCTGGCCATATTTAATAAGGGCGGAAGAGACTAGACAGGCTTCCGGTCAGAGTCGCGCGAAGTAGGAGGTGACTAGAATAATCTCTTTGGCTTATTGGTCTGCGGAGTAGGACGGCAACAGTGCGTTTATTTTCTGCGTCCAGGCGTTTTCTTTTCCGGTAAGTGGACCAACGGGGTTGCTAGGCAACATCCCAGGGTTACTCTCGCTTAAACTCTGCTCCCAGTTTGGAACGGAAGAAGGGGACTTATTCACGCACTGGCTATCTGAGAAGGCTAACAGACTAGAAGTAGAGGTGCCTTGGACAAGTAAGGTAAGTGTCGTTGTCCCCGGCAGTTGTTGGCCAGAGTAGCCCAGCCACAAGTACTGTATCTTTATCTGCTATAATATATCTGCTATTTTGGATACTGAGACGCGCGCGCCTCATCGTAAACAAAAATCGGCCGTTTGTTCACTTGCATGTACGCTCACCGAGGATGTTTGCGGATATTTATTTCTAGATTTTTATGTAAATGTGTACATGTACATTATAGTTAGGTTTTGTGCAAAAGTGGAGTCACATTTTACATACTGCTTTATAAGTTTACTGTCACCTTTTTCACCAGTCTCCCACTAATAGCCATTTAGGTTTTCCAGCTTTTCACCGCTATAAATGGGTTGAACATCCTAAATGTGTAAATCTTTGTGCATTTATCCAGTTATTTATTAAGAACTCACACTCAAGAATGGAATTGTTGGTGAAAGGGTATGTGATTTTTCTTTCCAAAAAGGATTTGAGTCTCTCTATTCCAGTAGGAACTAAGAATCCCTGCCTCTACATTCACACTCTTTCCATTATTGTGTATTACTGTGGTGTTTAATCCTTGTCCACTTAAAAGGTTTTTGTTTTTGTTTTGTTTTGTTTTGGTACTGGGGATCGAACTATGGACCTTGCACTTGGGAGGCAGGCAGCGGAACCACTGAGCTAAATCCCCGGCCTATTTAATAGGTTTTTAAACATATCTTTTAATTTGCCTTTCTTTGCTTACTTGTAAAGCTTAAGTTACCAAATACATTTACTGTCCATTTGTACCTCTCTTTTTATGAATTCTCCATTGATATCTTTTGCTATGGACGTTTTATCTGTGGCCTCAGTTTCCATTTCCTACTTTTGTCCCCTTGTGGCCTTCCTGTTGACAACATTGCCCTCCCCTACTTCTTCCTCTTTATCAGTGACACAGTGAAGGAGTTGTTTGAATTCTTATGATGAGACATACCCATATTCTCTGAGTTTCTCTTTCATCAGTAATTTGTTCTGCCACTCATTTTGATGAAGTCCCTCCTGACAACAGCTTCCCTGTTTAAATTGTGATCTGTGGCTGGAACAGTTTCATTTCCTGTATGAATTCTTATCAATTCATAATGTAAAATATGACTTGTAACCAAAAAAACATAGAAAAAGAAATTCTCCCTTTTTGTACTATTCCCCAACATTGGACCTGAATTTAGAATGTCAAGGATCTCAGTGGTGGTGTATCTCGTGGATGCCTCATTAAAAAGCCCTTTCATGGGGGCTGAGGGTGTAGTTCAGTGGCGCTGTGCCTGTCTGGAAAGCAGAAAGTCCTGAGTTTGATCCCTGGTATCGAAAATAAATAAATAGCCTTTGATCTCAAATATGAAATTTCTTCCAATCAAAAAATTAGGAGCTGGACTCCTACGTTAGAAGTAACACTAGACTAGAAATTTGGTGGCCCTAGATTCCAGTAGTCCTTGTCTTTTTTTTTTTTTTTT